TGCACTTTCTGATGCAGTATTTTCAAGACTTCAGCTGTATGTCATCTCCCTTCCAGCCAGCTCAGTACTATAGACATATGTGCAAAGTGTTAAGTTTACAATCTTAGTTTCTTGAAGCCAGCGCATGCTCAATCTGTAATCCCCGGCATGCACGGAGCACCTAGGAGATATTAAGCTTGTAGCAACAAACCCGTGTAAGCAACCTTGACATGCAGTGCCTGAAGCATGCCTTGGGTTAGATTTAATCAAGCAAGCAAGACTGAGATCTGTGTAATCGCTGAACTCTCAATCACTCCAAAGCGGTAATTGGTTACTTTAACTCAGCTTCCACCAAAGATGGTTGTGTTGGGGTTGAATTTTTGTTTTGTTATGTTTTTTCATGGTGTTAAATCGAGGCCTTTTAGTACACCAAAAGACTCCGAAGCGTTTTTCCAGTAGGTATCTCAGCACTGTAATCTTGCTCCAGTTCTGACACACATTCCTGAAACCTGAGCAGCTGTTTCGTGTTTCTGACAATAAGCTGTGGCCTGTTGTTCCCATCCTATGTAGGGTAAAATCGTCCTACACACCTGGACCGCACCCCGGGCAGTTGGAGGCATAACCAGTGACCCACTGGTTTCCTCTTTCAGACCCCCATCCCTCCTCCACAAAGGGATAAATAATTGTATGCAAGCGTAGGGAGGGTTGGCTTTTTTTGTTGTTGGTGGTTGTTATTTTCAGTGTCTGCTTGTTCTGGGTGAGGCACTCGGATTGGGAAAGCACCAGTGGATGCAGCTGGTGGGGAATCGCTACCCATCGAGTCCAATAGGGAAGGAAACTCTGGCCGTCTCGAACGAACTGTCGTTTCTGGGTCGAGCAGGAAGCCTGAGCTGGGAGCGTGCGCGTCCTCAGCTAACTGTGACAAACAATCTCCGTGGGGCTCGAGGTTGCATATCGTAAGGCCAGTGGTGTTTCATTTGAGCCGCGTTTTTGTTAGGGCAATTCTTAGCGGTATTGGAAATAACCTCTGACTTGCAGATTAATGGAGTAAAGTGTTGCTCTCCAGGCGTGATCATCTATGTTTCTGATAATCTTTATGAAGAAATGTTCAAGTTGTAAACTTATGTACATTTTATTAAAACGGTATCTGATTAAAACGCACCTTCTCTGCTGCATGTTCCTTCTCCCCTGCTCACGCCAAATATTTTTGCTGGATGCCAAGATTTCGTCCCTCTGGTGCTGAGGTGCTGAGTTCAGTAGCGACTCCCTCTTACTTGGGTTCGACTTCGCAACCGCCATCTTGTTTCTTTAAGCAGAGTCTTTTAGCGAGGGATGTTCCTGTTGGCTGGAGAGAAACCTGGCTGCACCAGGGCAGCGCTGAAACTCTGCGAAAGAGACTTTGCTTTATCTTGATGTTGTCTTAATTAACCGCGACAGAATAAGAAGGTATGGAAATGACCTTCAGCCCAAAACTGGCAGGGATATAATAGCACTAAAGGGAGGGAAACGAAGCCATCGCAGACATGCAAGCGATTATCCCTTAATCTTGCTGAAAGTGCAAGTGTCCCCTCTTTTGTTTGTTTTTTTTGTTGTTGTTGTTGTTCCTAGGCCTCAAATATAAGCAGTGGTTGGAACCTGCAAAATCAAGAGCTTCCACCCCAAAGATGCCACAATTTAAATAAAAGCATTGACCTGCCCAAAACATCTTCTGCAGAGCCCAGCGTCTGGTAGGTTCCTGGGAGGAGGGCTGAATTCTCGCTTCCTCCATAACTTTCAAGCCTGTGCAGAGTTAGGCAACAACCTGCCGGGCTCAGGTGCCCCGAGGGCCGTGCCCTGGCCGCCGAGGCGCCCCACCACCCCCTGCCCCTGCAAAACTCGACTTCTGGGGCCGCGGTGGTGGTATTTTCCGGTTTCTGCTAAAATCAGAGGGCGGCTGGAGGGGATCCTAGGCGGCCCATGAATAAGACTAGAGAGGCTGAGTGGGACTCCTTGGTTCCATTTTTTTTTTTCTTAAACAGCTTTGACTTGATTAGTACATCCCCCTTAAATTGCATTAGGTCATTAATTTGGCTGCTGACACAGTAGTTGAGCATAGATTTTTTTTTTTTCTTTCCCCTCCACATTGGCTTAGGCAGAGTGCTGTAATGACAGACGGCTGGAAGCACAGGGAGAGGCGAGCAGGTGCTTGGGGGAAGAAAAGGCTTTTTGTGAGTAACCGCGCTCCCTCCTGCCTCGGCGGATAGCTGGGGTGAAATCGCCGCTGCCCAGGCCTGTTTCCCAAAATCGTTCTCCGTTATGGCTCCTGCCGCTTCCGGGCTATAAAGCAAAGAGGATCCAGGAGCTTTGTCCTGCAGCTTTTCCCCAGCCCCGTGCCACTTAACTCTCCGCCTTGGGGATTGTTTCTGTCTCTAGGTGCTGTACATCCTGGCTTAAACAAAATAATGCAAAAACCATCAACAAAAAACCCTTGAATGCAACAATCAGCATCTGGGGGTCCGTGGTGGAGCCTGTTTCCCTGGCTGTTGGGAAGGGGGGTGGGTGGGCTGCAGCCAGCACCCCCCCCTTCTGCAAGTGCAACCTTTGCACCCCCTCTTTGCACCCAGCACCTCCCTTTGCAGCTAGAACCTCTGCAACCCCCTCTTTGCAGCCAGCCCTTTTGCACCCCTACCCCTTGCACCCTCCTTTGCAGCCAACACCCCCCTTCTACCTCTCATTTGCACTCCCCCCTTTGCAGCCAGCCCTTTTGCACCCCTACCCTTTGCACCCTCCTTTGCAGCCAACACCCCCCTTCTACCTCTCATTTGCACTCCCCCCTTTGCAGCCAGCCCTTTTGCACCCCTACCCTTTGCAGCCAACACCCCCCTTTCCACCTCTCATTTGC